AAGGAGGCATTGTTTCAATAAAGAAGCATTACTTATACACTGAAAGAACGGTTTGGTTATAATAAATGAATATGATTAACTGTTACCAAATCCGTTATTGAAATATGGATTATTAAACGTTTGTTTGAGAAAAACAAATTATTTGTTCACGCCCCCATGAATAAGCCTCGTGCATGGTTAATTTATGATTATTTCATGATAATAGTCCTTTATTATCTGAGAATATATATTTCTTCACCCACACCAAACGATATTTATTATTCCAAAATCTTTGTTTTTAGTAACCAAATATTCATTTATAAGTAGGTACAGCATGAGAAGAAACATTTTATTGATAATAAATAAATATTATGTTCGCTGATATAATTCAATGTCTTCATTACAGAAAAATTGCTAATTGTTTTATTACATTTCCTGATGTATTACCACCAGTAGTGGATCACCCCGAGGGAATGTTTCTATATAAACCTTATATCAATAAAAAATTTAGTAACAGTTAACGAATATTATTTATCTAAGTATATAATCAAACTATTCGATCAGGGCTGGTTGCGTATAAACCTATTACCTTATAACTCATCAGCTCTCAGCTATGATGGCATACCCACGTTTCAATGTACATAATAATATAGTACTCCCTTTCAAATTCATGCAAAACAAATAATATCAGAAAATACTCATGCATACTATATACATATAGGCATTCGCACCTACTTACGTTCAAAATGTACCAATATTGATTGATTAGCTCCACATGCACCACTGTTTTTCTGAGAACATACTAAATGTTGTATACTGATGATGCACTGATAGTCCGCCATTTTTTTCATATGTGATGTACCTACATGAAATCATCCCAAGAAGCTGATTGTAGACGTAAATATACATGTCCAAATGTAAACAAACCCGCACTGTCATATAAGGGATTGAACTAATATAACCATCCACACTTCATAACTTTCGCGTTGGTCGAAATCAAATAAAAATCAGCAACGTTATCAAGAAGATGCTCACGCGATAAAAGATGGAAGCTAAACTAAAATGATGCACAGAAAAAAATAATTTGATAGCATTAACAGAACGGGTTCTGTATCGAATTTAACGAAGAATTATTTCAGCGTTACAGAATTTTTTTACCATAAACAGAACCATTGTTATGAAAGATACAGAATGTTGCAGATTTTCTGTTAATTTTACAATAAATTTCTGTAAGTAATTGTCTCCGATCATATATAATTTCTTTACTATTCACTTATCATTCTATAATATTGATAGAATAGCTAGGTATAAGATTACAGAAAATACTGTTGGTATCAAAGTTTGATCTGTACTATTCATTTTGACATTTTCAATGATAATTTTATACCAAGAATAAAATCTTCTCTAACACTCATGGAATATTTCGTTAGAATTGACACAAAATCTTTCTTTGAATATTAAAGAAAATATCTCATGCGGATACGAATAGTTCTGTAATATTAAAAGATCATGAGTGAAGTCATTCTTTCGAAAGAATGTTCTTTAAATAAAACAAATAGTTCTGTTCCAGTTCAAGAAACGCAAGAAACATTATGTCATTATTCACCAATCAGATTCGTGCTTACGCTCACCTGATGTCACCGAACATGATGTGTTGGTCTATTTTCAAATTTGGTTACCATCCCTTATACCGCATAGGGCATTATTCATTTTTTATTTAGTATTGACAGTGAATGCATCGATGTTGAATGTTGTTTTCAATTTTCTTTCCGATTGATAGGTATCAAGGTAAGTGTACTTATTCCTATATCAGCTTAGCAAGATTTGGATACTGGGTAACTACCGATACCTGATTGTGTGATATACATTTATCAATATACAGGGTGTTACATTAATATGAGTATAGGTATGGTTACTTCAATATATTGTGACAACAATGAAGGCGAGAAAATGGAAAGAAGTTCCTATGAACTCTTACTCGTAGTTTTCAAGATAAGAAGTTGATCTATCATCTTAAAAAGTTCGTTGAAATTAAAGTGGGTGATCTGGTTCTAAGGTCAGAATTTGACGAATTACTCGAAGTGTGTGGGCAAAACGGAATATCTATTGCAACAATGACTCATTAGAAATGATTATGTAGGAAACATTTTTCAGTTTACTATAAACAATGAAGTCTCTGAAACTTTCGTGGACGGAGAGGCAGTTTTCCAGCATATTGAAGCAAAAGGTTGTTTACTTCCGCTTGCATTTCACTTTCGGAAAATTTTTGAGAAGGGTGGATCAAGACACGCCATGGACGGTTGAAACACATTCGACAGAACAAGGAAGATCATACTGCTATGGTATTCTCAAGACTTGGAAGCATTATACCAACCCACTTGGATATAGACTGGTATGTTATTTGTTCTCACTTTTATCTTGTTTCAGAGGTTTTAGCTTCTTCACACTAATGCGTTTATTTTTTCTGTTAATTATTCTTGTACTATTTCAGGTTAACATTGATTATCAAGAACCGATAAAAGAAAACTCGAATATATTGATGGATTCATGAAAAGATTTTTTCAAGAAATGAAATGAAACTGAGTTTTAATCTTCTCCTGAAGATGCTAACATAGTTAGCGAAACACGTGTCGAGGCGTTAAAAAATCGGTTTGGTTGGTGGTAAAACAGTGTAGTGTATAAATATAGTCCTGATAACAATCTCTGAGATTAACGGTACAATTCAGTTAATTGTACAGAAATATCTGTTCCGGTAGGTAATGAACAATTCTATACCATCAATAGAACCATTCTGTAAACACAAATGATCAATAGAACCATTATACATTGCTTTTGGGTGTATGATAAATTGACATTCATCATACAGGGCGTGGAAATGAATTCTGAATTGAGACTCTATCACGAATCTGCGATTAGAGGTCTATAAAAATCACAAGTTTCCATCGTTCAAGTTTGAACCCCCTGATTGGGTATGAAAGTGTTGAAAATGAATATTCTCAGATAAATTATGAACATACAAAAATGGATATATATTTATATAAAACAATACATTGAGAATTCGCATTCTCTATGTGATGAGAATATTTACTCTTTTTCAGTTAATTCAATAGAAAACAACTACTTTCCTGGCTATACTTCAATGTTCGTCGTGGCATATAGCCAGGAAAGTAGTTGTTTTCTATTGAATTAACTGAAAAAGAGTAAATATTCTCATCACATAGAGAATGCGAATTCTCAATGTATTGTTTTATATAAATATATATCCATTTTTGTATGTTCATAATTTATCTGAGAATATTCATTTTCAACCATTATACAACCTGTACAGAAATATCTTTCGCGATTATGAATATTTCTTTACCATTGAACGAACTATTTCGTTCCGGTTATAATACATTTCCTTAATGGTACAGAATTCAACAGAACCATTCTTTAACATATAAATAACTATCGTTTGACACAAGGAACACATTTTGTTATACCAATAGAAATTTCTTTATGACTATCGAACTATTCTTTAATGTTTCAGAATTCTAGCGAATTCTTCTTTCCAGTGTACAGAACTATTTGTTGAGACAACGAACAGATTTTTTCACAGTGAAAGAAACTTTCTGTAGAAGTACCGAAATGTCTTTTGATGTTGATGAATCTCATTTGGGGATTTTAAAAGAAATGGATTATGATATTAACAGAAACTTCCATTGGCGCTATAGCAAAAGAAGTTTTTGTAGTATTCAAAGATTTTTTTTTAATATTTACCTTGTCATTTCTTTCTGTGTGGCCCATGCGCATGACAGTTTTTTAATTATTACCAAATGAATTATTATAATTAACAAACGAAGAATAAAATGAAATATCTATTGTTATCCTTTATATTACGTATATTTATAATAAACAAATTTATCGTAATAAATAAACACATATCGGCGTACTAGATGACTTGTTAATTATTAAATGATGCTGTTCACAATGAACAATGTGACAGTAATAAATCATTTATTGTTAATATACAGGGTGTTTCATAGGTGAAGGGAAATATTTCTATGGTAGATAGGGGTCACCAAGGTGGTTCTAAAAATAGCATATTTGATAGGTCGACGATACAGGGCGATTTATCGATTTCGAATAATTATTCATTCGCCTATAAGTATTGAACTACCCGATATATTTTCCTCAAATTACTGCGATGGGTAGTCTTAATACTTATGGACGAGTGAATAATTATTCGAAACCGATAATGCACCCTGTATCTCTGTTATGAAGACTGTGAGACCTAATAAGTTCTTTCGAACACTGAAAGAACTGTTTGCACGCTAAAAAATATTCATTTAAGGAATCACAATTCTTGGTAGTGAAATATTTCTAGTGCATTGTAATGAGAATCCTAGACTTTCCAACTGCCAAAACACTTAGCTTCAATAAGCCATTAGTAAATTATACCAGTATGAAAATCACATTCGAATCATAGAGAGGAGTACTGTGGTTCGGAGTAATCATTATCAATTTACTAATACGAAATCGCAGCTGTGTTATTCACTATTCCCCATAGTGAATGCAACTCACGAACTCTGGTATAATCCATTCAGAAGAACAATGAAATTTTCTATCAATATTTATTGAAATGTATTGAAAAATATTCACTATCATCGCGGTGAAGACGATTCTAGAAAATGTTAAAGTTTACTATTCCAATCAGAATGGAACAACTATATCAAATTCGTTATTTGTTAACATGATTTGAATACAATGTTTTGCAAGGTAACTTATAACTGGAAACCCAAAAAAAATCCCCTCTTCTAATACAACATCATGAACTATTCAGTTAATTTGAAAATATACCCGCGTATCTGATTAAGAAAACATTCCATGGATTTTTTCCATTATGGTTTGACTTCAGTTATTCGTTGGTTGTTCATTCTCGCAGTATGTTGTGCTGTGCATGATCTACAGAAATCAGATTGTCAGTGCTTGCCAGTGAAAATGAACCCTTCGAACCCCGCAGCTTCAACTCTCCCCTCCCTAATACAAATTCCATATTGTATTTTTCCCAATTTCCTTCAGTTATCAGTTCACGTATAGACACTGTTTGTTGAAGACGTTTGGTTGTGCTATATCTACCGAATGAGAATCATGTCTGAAGGAGAGAAAGTTGATTTCCAGAAATCCCTTCAATCTAATGGAATTGGTCATCTGTATCCACTGTTTGCAGGTAAGCATATTTCATTTTATAATTATCTAGTGATGAAATCATATCTATCAATTGATATAATAAGTATTTTTAATATTTCATATTATAAGAATCAACTTTAAACATGCCTCATCGTGTTTAGGCGTTATTACATACTGTGGACCCGTCCCCTAGGATGGTAAAATTTACTATTCTCTCGTGTGCAACTTCATATATTATACCCATATATGAAACTTATCTACCGAAATGTAAAATTCACAATACGTTTTTCAAATAACTTATTATAAAAATATAAACACAAAAAACTATAATGTATAATCATGGCATGTTGCGCGTACACATACAATAGTAGATTGTTATATCAGGATAAAATGTGACACTTTTTTTGACAAGCGAATTTTGCGTTTGCGAGACTGAGCAACCGCGAAGCCGAGCACGCAAATAATTTTGCGAGTCAAACAAGGTCGCTTTTGATGCTATGCTATTTTTTCTGCAACTGCAATCGAAATAATTATTGATATAACGATTTACAGCGAAAGGAGTGCAGACTTTTGAACAGCTATCAGATGCCGTAGTAGAATGTATAGTAGTTGATCTCAAAGATCGAGCAGTTATCGAGTCCATGCTCGAACAATTGTTGGATGAGAGTATAACAAATACAACGGTACACCACAAAACAATTTCAGGAGACGAATTTTTCAACCTCTCAAATATTACGGATATTCCTGGAACACCAAGTACTTCAAAACTCTCAGATATTACGAATATTCCTGGAACTCCGAATACTTCTAGATTCTCAGATGGTTCATTCTACAATTCAAGCAGTATAAGTACAGGTGATGTTATGATAATGAGTCAAATACTCAGTGGGTGTCACCTTATTTCCTTACACATTATCATTTGATCTCCATAATAGGTTCCCGTAGTAAGAGAAATGTGAGAGACATACTAGAAAGAAGTCTAGAAGGTGAAGTTGTGCTCTCTGGGGCTCAAAATAAAAAAATCAGTAGAAGACAACTAGCCAAGCTCCAAATAGAGGAAAAGTTGAATGAAGATGTCAACAAAAAGTGAGTGAGATATTTTTTGAGTATGTTATATTTTAGCGGGTGTAACAATATCATAGTACACCCCCTTTTTTGATTGGTTTAGGAGATAAATGATTCAAGTTTGAAACGACCAATATAAAGTTAATAAACGTTGCGTTCTGATTTTTTCCCGCGTAAGTGGTACTAATTTTCGAATTTGAAATTGAACATCCTGTATATTATTATATTTTCGAATTCTGCATAATTTTCTGAATCCAATGATAGCACATAAGTGACATTTCAAACATTAATATCTATCTATTTTGGTTGTATTTTGCATCTTGGTGTGAGATTATTATTTCGTTCCATTCTTTACCGTCCTAGACAGACGTAATATTAAAAAACTAAATCCTGTCATGAATCTGAAATTTGATGATTCGTTGTATGTGGGATACACACTTCGAGAGGTGATAGGGCGTCTCAAGAAATTTTGGAGTTGAATCTGGTTATTCGGTTTTTCTCGAAAAATTTTTTTTCGAATAACATTTCGAAATGTTTCATCGTCACCCATGCTTTTTCTGAAAAATCACGCATCAATACCCCTTAACAGTACCACTGGGAGTCAGATTGACTAAATAATGCTAGTGATTCAATCACTCTCAGGTGGGTACTGAGTGATACACCAGAATATCAAGAATTTTTGATATCTACCTACCATTAGTTATAGTACTCATAATGAGAAATTTATTCATGAAGTGTTATATCATATTGAAAGTTATGATGAATTGTTCATTATTGGCCAAAACTGTTTTATGTCCCTATCTCAACTTTTGATTTAGTATCTACTGGCATTTGATTGAAAAAAATACAGGGTGGTGAAAAGTTCAGAATGCTGATGACCCTGTACTTGATGGAATTTTGCTCTGGAAGTCATATTAATAAATTGATGAGTATGTATCTGAATATGATTCGTTTGTCAAAATCAAAATTTTTAGAGGTTTACAACTTTCACTTGGCAACACTGCTTCATTTGACGACCCATTTAACAGCTATGTTTAGTTTGGTTTAACATTTCATTATGGAAAGACTTATTACACCAGAGCAACGCATGCAAATTGTTGATATTTGTTATCAAAATGATGGTTCTGTGTGTCAAACTTCTCGTTGACTTCATCCATTTTATGGCGTATTTAATTTTCCTTTAGAGCAAATAATTCGAATCAAAATGGCTCAAATCATTTAGCGTGAACGTGGTCCGAGAAGGATGTTTATGTACGCTATGAAATGGACGAAGTGCAAGATAAGTTAGAAGTAATTAAATTTCAACAATTTGCAACCGTTGCTCTGGCATAATATATCCATAATGAAATGTCAAGCCAAACTGAACAAAAAAAAACTATCAGCTGTTAAATGGGTTGTCAAATGAAGCAGTGTTGCCAACTGAAAGTTGTGAACCTCTAAAAAAAACACCCTTTAAAAGTTTTATGTGATTCTACAAGATATGTTATGTTATTAGTAAAGCGGTCGTATATTTTAATCAAAACTGTACCTATACTACCCTATGAGCATGATGAATGAAGGGTTGGTCTGACAAATTTCTTAAACTGCCTGAATAAAAGTTTGTTCTGCCCATGTATAATACCTATGGTTCATGATACTTACCATGATAGGATTTAATTATTCACTTACCCATCTTTTTTTTTCAGAGTATTGCGGACATTCAATCTAATTTGCTGTATAAAAGGAATAAATACAGTCAGCTCAAACTTACCATGCAGCCAATACTCATTTTAGTAGGTCAAAGCATTCTCAACATAGAAAAGTCATTCGTCAGTGTGAATGATATTCTCTGGAAAATGGAGTCACCTTTGAAAGCTATCGATTTGTGCTTTATGCCAAATATCCTGCAGAGAGTGAAATGGTATGGACATTTGTGCAACAATCATTTTATGAAATTTTTACTGATTATGATGGTGAGTTTATATCTGTCAAGTCATTACAACAGGAGTTGAATAATTAATTAGGTATCAAACTTGATACTATTCTGTTCAAGTATTTTGTGAAACAAAATGTTTGTCGTTTTGTTGATATATATGTATATGTATATATTTGATATGTAGGTATACAGTGTGTCCACATTGTTAATTGGGATTGTATTGGTAACTTCCAAACCGTACTAGTAAGAAGGTCGGTTACATGAAGAAAAAGTTGCGTATCAAGAAACATCATCCAGCGGCGGTGAAAACGAATTGAAAAAAATATCAGTGCCAGTTCTTGAGATATTACGATTAGTTTTCACCGCTAGATGATGCTTTCTGATACGCAACTTTTTCTCCATTTAACCGACCTTTTAACTAGTATATGGTTTGGAAATTACCAATAAAATCCCATTAGAAAAGTGGCCAGCCTATTACATAGTACAAACATAATATTTATATGTTTAAGAAAGGAGTATATTATTATGTTCTGTTATGTTTTATTGTTATGTTCCATTTTTTTTATTCTAAATAAACATCATGTGAAGTGTTCGAAAGAAAAGTACATAATTTAATTTTGTGTACCTACCTGCTTCATGAATCTTATTCTTGCCATCAGTGAACTATTTGCATCTATGAATAATTGATGGAAGATACAAATCCAATTGAATGTCCTAGACAATAATTCCAACTGATTTTATGTTATTTCAGAGATACACTGAACTGCTTATTACTCTATTCATATATATATATATATTGAAATATTGTATACCAGATGTCCCAACAAGATAACGGTTTCTAAGAGAGAATATTTTTCTTATATAGCTTACGAAGAAAAACATATCTTTGAAAGAAATCAATTGTCATAGATTCACTGGATGATTTTCGTTAGGATATTTTCTCGAAAGCAGCTGGAGAACATAGGTATTTTCTTAGATATACCGCCGTGTAAAAAATTGTGGAATCTAATTCTAATTTTTCAAAAGACAAGGTTCGTTTAAATCCATGACAAATTGATATTCATCATACAGTTAGTGAAATGGATGAAACTGTAAATCTTTTCGCGTATGCAGTCAAAGTAAAACAAAGTGTACTCTTGTTTCTGTTCGAGCTTTCGGATCTTTATTGGCTCCTCATCAGGAACTCTGTATATATAGTGGTTTCATTATTTTTACTAATTCCGTATTCATTTATATCCATTACAGACAGATGCAAAAGACAAGTCGCTTTTGGATGATGTAAGCGCTCTTATTATAGAAGTGGCTAGAGGTGTTATCATTACCCAAGTGCTACGCATGTTCATTGCATCTGACTGTACCTCATATACTACGAAATGTACGTGCAGTTAACTACACTATAACAAGAATATTAATATGTTATGCTGATTCCTAGTTTCTATTATTATGTCCTATAGTAAATACTACTGAAATAAGCATGAGTGGTTATAATATCCACCATAATAATAAATACTAAGTCAGTATAGTAAAAAATACTATCCAATATTGATCCGAGTATACTATTTCCGATAGTGAAGAAGTGGATGTGAATCATAACTTTTTCTCATGGTAAGTTTGATTACATTGTATGAAGTTCATTACAGTGCACGGAAGAGCGAATATTACAGCTGCATTATGTTCAGCCGCAGTATTTGTGCATCGTTTGATATACTGTTCCTCATAGTGAGTATTCATAAAATTCGAAGGCTAATGAATTTCCTCCGTTTCTAATTAAGGGTACTATCACATCGTGTAGCCAGTGCCTTGAATAGTTTCACTTGAACTGAATAGTAAAGTTTACTGGGAGGACTGTCTGTCCATATATCAACTGTTTTTACCAGTGAAATTCACTTTTATGCTAGTATTTCTTACAGGCTTTTTCTTTGCGTGTGGTTATAATAAATAAATATGATTAACTGTTACCCAATCCGTTATTGAAATATGGCTTATTAAACGTTTGTTTGAGAAAAACAAATTATTTGTTCACACCCCCATGAATAAGCCCCGTGCATGGTTAATTTATGATTATTTCATGATAATAGTCCTTTATTATCTGAGAATATATATTTCTTCACCCACACCAAACGATATTCATTATTTCAAAATCTTTGTTTTTAGTAACCAAATATTCATTTATAAGTAGGTACAGCATGAGAAGAAACATTTTATTGATAATAAATAAATATTATGTTCGCTGATATAATTCAATGTCTTCATTTCAGAAAAATTGCTAATTGTTTTATTAAATTTCCTGATGTATTACCACCAGTCGTGGATCACCCTGAGGGAATGTTTTTAAGCCTTATATCAATAACAAATTTAGTAACAGTTAACGAATATTATTTATCTAAGTATATAATCAAACTATTCGATCAGGGCTGATGGTTGCGTATGAACCTATTACCTTATTACTCATCAGCCCTCAGCTATGATGGCGTACTCACGTTTCAATGTACATAATAATATAGTACTCCCTTTCAAATTCATGTAAAACGAATGATATCAGAAAATATTCATGCATACTATACATATAGGCATTCGCACCTACTTACGTTCAAAATGTTCCAATATTGATTGATTAGCTCCACATGCACCACTGTTTTTCTGAGAACATACTAAATGTTGTATACTGATGATGCACTGATAGTCGTCCGCCATTTTTTTCATATGTGATGTTGTACCTACATGAAATTATCCCAAGAAGCTGATTGTAGACGTAAATACATAATATGTCCAAATGTAAACAAACCCGCACTGTCATATAAGGGATTGAACTAATATAACCATCACACTTCATAACTTTCGCGTTGGTCGAAATCAAATGAAAATCAGCAACGATATCAAGAAGATGCTCACGCGATGAAAGATGGAAGCTAAACTAAAATGATGGCCCATGCGCATGACAGTTTTTTAATTATTACCAAACGAAGAATAAAATGAAATATCCATTGTTATCCTTTATATTACTTACCTTTATTTATAATAAACAAATTTATCATAATCAATAAACACATATCGGCGTACTAGATGAATTGTTAATTATTAAATGATGTTGTTCACAATGAACAAATGTGACAGTAATAAATCATTTATTGGTAATAAATAATGCTTAGAAACAGGTACGATTTTGGTGAATGAGACTTTTTAATTATGAATATGGCTAATTGATTATGAACAAATTTGACGTTAACAAATATTTGATAATTATTACTGAGATTTTTCTTTCGGTGAACGATCATTAAACAAGAATATATCAAATAATCATAATTGAAAATTGTTTCATAATTTCAATACTCTTCAAATTGACATAATACTTTTAGCTTTCTGTTTATGATTGTTACGATGAGAATTGGTGGCGGGTAAACAAAAAGCATCAAATCCAGTTCAGTTTTTCCTCCTCTTCACGATTCCTTTGATGGACTCTGTCAATTATTACATACAGTGTGTTATTTTAATATTTCGAATAAATGTAAATTGTTCCTGAAGCCGAACCTGGATTTCCACTTCACCCGATAGGTGAATGAATTCAACGTCCCAAGTATAAGCTCCATACCAAATTTTAGAAAAATATACTGGGTAGTTCAATACTTATAGACGAATGAATAATTATTCGAAATCGATAAATCGCCCTGTATCTCCGTTATGAAGACCGGCCTAAGACCTATCAAATATGGTATTTCCAGAACCACCTTGGTGACCCCTATCTACAATTGAAACATTTCCCTTTACCTATGAAACACCCTGTATAAAGCGTAGAAACAGGTACGATTTTGATGAATAAGACTTTTTAATTATGAATATGGCTAATTGATCATGAACAAATTTGACGTTAACAAATATTTGATAATTATTACTGAGATTTTTCTTTCGGTGTGCGCGATGGTTACGTAGGAAACTGAAAAAAAGTGTGATACAGGGTGGTCAAACGAAAACGACCAGACTGAATGACTTCCGCGTGGAAAATGATTGCTTAGCCACGAATTTGTAACACCCTGATGTATAATACGTGGTATATGAGTATATCATAATTATATTTGTTGCACAACCCGAAGAAAAACTCAAAAATATTTACAAAATATATACATCGTGTCCCAGCTAAAATGTCCCACCCTGTGAAAAATCAACCACACGATCGAATGAAATTTGGTCACCCAGTATATTTAATGATACTCACTCGAAAATATATGCTATTGAATAAATCTTAGGTATACAGGGTCACACCAAAGTGCACATCACGAGGCACATCAACTTCCTTATTTGAATAGGGACACCCAGTATATTATTCCATATTCAAGTAGAGTTCATTATTACAAATTCAACAATGCAGGGTTTGATGGAATTTTTTCGAACTACTACGAAGATAAGGCAAAAAATAAAACGATTCAACAAAAAATTTAAATGATTATTTTATTGATATGACACGATTGAAATCGAATGATATTGGTGGGTGTCCTGCACATAAATACAAACCCGTAAAGGATTATCTCCGCCATCGGTTTGGAGAAAATCTAATAACCACCAATTGTCTGGATGGTAATAGCAACTGGCCAGCTCGGTCGCCAGACCTCACCCCACTTGATTTTTATTTGTAGGGCTACTTGAAACAACAGGTTTATGAGTCGTCAATTGTGAATATGGAAGAAATGAAAGAGAAAATCACGAATTTATGCGCTCAAATTGATCGCAACGTGATACATAGGGTCAAAATGAACGTTATCAAAAGAGCTAGGAAATGTTTGCAGCAGAATGGACGACATATTGAGCAGTTGAGGTTTCAATTATTTTCTTTTCATCCGATTTCAATCGTGTTATATTAATAAAATCTAATCATATAAAATTTTTTATTGGGTCGTTTTATTTTTCGCATATCTTCGTAGTTGTTTGAAAAAATCCCATAAAACTCGGCATTGTTGGATTTGTAATAATGAACTCTACTTGAATGAGGGATAATATATTGGGTGTCCCTATTCAAATAGGAAAGTTTAGGTGCACTTCAGTGTGACCCTGTATACCTACGATTTATTCAATAGCATATTTTGAGTGAGCATAATCAAATATACTGAGTGACCAAATTTCAAGTCATTCGATCGCGCGGTTGATTTTTTACAGGGGGGGACATTTTAGCTGGAACACGGTGTATAATAAATTCTCAATCAACAATTTGAAAATATACATTATTGAGCACTTTCAATGATATTATGCATGACAGTTGTTTATTTAAGTGGCGGGATCTGACGAAAATCTTAACTATCTTATATAAAACCGGCCCGGACGTTTCCAGAGGCACCTAAAAGTCCTAAAACCCACACCCGGACTCGTCCAGAGAAATCCGGAGGAATGGCAACCCTCGAAATATTCTAGAATCAGAAGCAATAGGTGGGTAGATTCGTTGACACCTAAGGTATAGGACCTACCCGACTAATCAACTCACTCACTTGATAGATAATTACAATTTCCCATCAAGCATTTTGCTTATTTCTCGAAGATAAAAAGCTGAAATTGCATATTCTCAAAATTTTTCGGTTTATTCAGTGAATGATATAGACATACCTGGTATAAGGATTTTCCGATGATTATGGATCTGCTAATCAACACAACACCAACATTATTTGTCCATGGCACCAGCTCATGAGTTGAATTGAACACGGTCAGTACACGAAGCAATTCACGAGATTCAAAACTAAATCCAGGACACAGCAGGAGGCCGGTTAAACATTCGAAAGTGCGACCAAACAACCGCTACCAAACAAGTGAACCGAACGAAACAATCCAAGGGAAAAATGGAATGAGAGATGAAATGATGAAAATGAAAAGGAACAGGCCAAGGAAAGGAATAATGGTGGGGGGCCGCCATTTCCTCACTCTCTCTTTCACCCTCTCGCACCAGCACACCAATACCAGGACTCTGTTTATGTTCCCTGCAGAAACTGTGGTGCCACAGCTGCAGTCAACAAGCGGCATAATATAATAATATCCGTCGGCAATATCAGACACCCTTTGACTGTTGCCGGTCGCTAATTAGTGTGTGCGGAGACCTTCGAGATCAGGGTCGGCTACAGAAAAAAAATTATTGGGTGGTCAACAAAATTGTGAATTTCTCATTTTGCTTCTGAATTCGTACCGATTTCGATGTTCTTACTGATATCAGAAAGCTTCAATGAGGATTAAAGCAAACTAAACCGACCATGACCTATTCCAAATATAATTAATTTGTTGAGGGATTGTCTTGAATCCTGTTATGTTTTTCATTTGCAGCTTCTTCTTGGGGTTTGGATTCAGTTTCAAAAAGAATTTTAAAGGATTAGTAGAAAAACGTTTCGCCCATGGCTATGGGCTTTGTCAATTTATTAATATTTAGTTAATCTGTAAATACGTATACGTATCTCTCTTTTTTTTTATTAAGATCTCATCACTGTCGTTCCACAATGTAAACCATCTCAATGAAAACCATTATTTACAGATTAACAATGGGCGAAACGTTTTTCTACTCATTCCTTGAAATTCTTTATGAAACTGAATCCAAACCCCTAGAAGAAGCTGCAAATCAAAATAGTTATTTTTGTATCTAGAGCGCGAAATGCTACTTTGCTGATCGAGATCTGATTTTTTTAACGAGGCGTACTGCGTAGCCGAGTTAAAAAAATAGTCGAGATGACCAAAGTATTTCGCGCTCGAGTTGCAAACAACATTTTTTCTACAAACGTCAAAAAATATAGTTTTAAAGTAAAAATATGCTTAGCTTGATATAAAAAATGGTGTTGAACTGGCTTAAAAGGCCTCCTCTATCCTCCCTAGGTAGGCACGATGTTCCACGAACATAATAGAAATTTCCTTTCGTACGCTTCAAGAGATAAAACGAAGTTATTGTTGAACATTCTGAAATAAATGATTTTTTGGATGTTTTCTCGATTAAGGACCATTTAGTTGAAATATGAATATCTCATATATTTTCCATAACAATGCGCGAAGTAGGTACTTCGCGCACTGTTTTACTTCGCACATTGTTTGGTGCAAGATATCATGGTAACATAGGAAACTGAATAAAAGTGTCACTTCACAATTTGCTATCAATGCGCGAACCTTGTCATTTTTTGACGTTTGTAGAAAATAGTTATTTTTGTATCTAGAGCGCGAAATGCTACTTTGGTGATCGAGATCTGATTTTTTTTAACGAGGCGTAGCCGAGTTAAAAAAATAGTCGAGATGACCAAAGTATTTCGCGCTCGAGTTGCAAACAAAATGTTTTCTTCAAACGTCAAAAAATATAGTTTTAAAGTAAAAATATGCTTAGCTTGATATACAAAATGGTGTTGAACTGGCGTGAAAGGCCTCTCCTTTCCTCCCTATAGGTGAGCACGATGTTTCACGAACATAATAGGAATTTCCTTTCGTGCGCTCCGAGAGATAAAACGAAGTTATTGTTGAACATTCAGAAATAAATGATTTCGTGGATGTTCTCTCGATTGAGGACCATTAAGTTGAAATATAAATATCTCATATATTTTACATAAGAATGCGCGAAGTAGGTACTTCGCGCACTGTTTTACTTCGCACATTGTTTGGTGCAAGGTATCATTGAAACGTAGGAAACTGAAAAAAAGTGTCACTTCGCAATTTGCTATCAATGCGCGAACCTTGTCATTTTTTGACGTTTGTAGAAAAATATAATTAATGTTCTCATTTAATTTTCATATGAAACAATATGTGCTTGAGAAAACTGCTGCCAATAAAAAAACCGATATAAACTGGTCAACATTGATAACGTCATGGTGCAAAATTAATAGGTATAGGTATAGCTTGAATTCACGATTTTTGTAACCAATTTATAATCGGTTTCCGCCGATGATCAGAGCGAACTCTGAACAGCTTGTCAACAAAATATGATACTTTAGTGATTTCTTTATACAAGGTGTCCGGAAATTATGCGCAAAAAATCAAGGAGGTGATTCTACATGATGAAATCAGAAATTTATTTCATATGTACAGGGTGATTCACCATAAATGTCCCCCCCTCTAGCTCACTTATTTTCAAACCGTTTTGAAAATTTGAAAGATGATCTGAAATGATTTTTCAGACATTTTTTTCCTGTTGCATCAGAAAATACAGGGTGCTCGGAACAAACGATCTACAGAGTACTAATTGATTTTTTCAAATGGAACACCCTGTATTTGATTATTTTTTGGGCTTCCTCCTGAAGAGCTGATTTCATCAATGTATCACACTTAGGGTCTAGCGGGAATGATTACAGAGAAATAGGGTGTTCAAAATCGAGATTGTTCAACTTTAGGATTTTTTTGTGCCGAAACTATTCATTATTGGATGATTATTGGTCAAAACGGCTCCTATGTCCCCATCTCAACTTTTGATAGTAGTGACATTTAATTGAAACATTTACAGGGTGGTTCGGATTCAGAATTCTGATCACACTGTATTTGTTCCAATTATTAAATGTCAGTAGATGGTAAATCAAAAGTCAATATACGGGCATGATCGCCGTTCTGACCGATAATGAATAGGTTCGTCACAAAAAATCCTAAAGTTGAAAAATATCGATTTTGAACACCCTATATCTCTGTAATCATTCCCGCTAGATCCCAAGTGTAATACATCGATCAAATCAGCTCTTCAGGGAGAATCTAAAAATACAATGAAAAAAAATCAAATAGTACCCTGTAGATCGTTTGTTCCGAACACCCTGTATTTTCTGATCTAGCGGAAAAAAACTTTATCGAAAATCATTCAAGTTGATATTTAAAATTTCGAAATCGGTTCAGAAATAACCGAGCTAGAGGGGGGGACATTTATGGTGAATCACCCTGTACGTGGGTCCAGAAATGCATAGTTTTCAACATACAGTGTGTTGAACTTTACAAAAAAAAATCGTTTTTATATGAATATCTCAAATATCCTTCCACCGATTTACTTGAAAGTTGCTGGCAGTGTTATTTTTATCAAGGGGCCGATTTAGCCGTTATTGATTTGGAATTATCAAATCCAGTGACGTTTCGGAGGACACCCTACCGAATAGTATTGTCAATTGTGCGCCACTGATTTTTTCGAATTCTATATCTTCATATGCTAATTATGCTATTGACCAACGGAACATTCAATATTTTGGTCTCATCAATTGTTTCGATATTTTGTTTCGTTTTCGTGGAAAATAATAAATACCAATTTATTGTATACATTTGTGCAATAAAATCCTTTGAAGACTGGGGTGAAAATAAATCTGTGATCTATATTCATAGACATAGAATAAGAGTGAAGATTCATTCTCTTCGAATAATCTTATAAAAATGTTTGACACACTCTACACTCTGTATATTGAGAGCTATGTATTCTCGGACCCAGGTATGCAAATAAAAAAATCATGTTCTCATGTTCAGTTTTTGCGTACAATTTTTGGTAACCCTGTATGTAGAATCTATTAGTAACAGAGAGCTCATTTTGTCTGGGAGTTGTGTGCAAACATTCAAGGGGGTGATTTTATTTGAATATTACAAAGAGTTCGTATAACATTTTTTCGAAAACTCGCTAATAAAGTAGCCTCCAAAGTTGATATTTCGAGAATAAATATTTTTTTCTGCAACCGACATAAAAGTCGTCCGTTTTGATACCAAAATAAGCTCTTAAATTGACGTTTCTATTACTGACACAAAAATAGGTATGTTGCTAGGCAACATATTTAGTTCCTAGGAGCTAGAGTTGAACTTTAGTTCCTAGGAGCTAAAGTTCAACATTAGCTCCTAGGAACTAAAAACAATGTACTGGACGTCATCAATAATAAACAACATTGTGACGGTTGGTTATTTGGGTTGAGACGCATACCTGATTTGTTTCCGATTTCGGCAGATTTGGCATTTCATACCGATGCAGGAGATCACAGAAAAAAATATATACTATATGCAAGAATAGTAGTCTTGACTGAAAGGTAAGTTAGACTCATATATCCGCAAAGACAACTATACTCAATTTGAAATGCACGTTACTCTTATACCGATCTGTACATTTTATTGGTAATGATTGAAAGTGAACTTAACCTGAGTATAGTAATAATTATTCTAAACCTTAACAAAACTCCAATTGAAAGCAAGCCAAATATGATTAAATATAGTATATTCTTCCAGCAAATTGATTCTTAGTTTTAAATACTGTCTGTAGGTTAATCGAGGAGGTGGTATATTCATTATTCCAAATTTTTTGGGATTTTCTCTCCTCGTTTCTATAAAATAAAAATATGAATATTATTTCAATATACGTGTAGTAAGGACAAATCAGATGATTTGCCCCAAAATGTCACTGCCTTTAAAGAATTTTCCTATCAGAGAGCCTAAAAGAAAAATTCACTAGCTTGTCAGTGACAATTTGTATTGAAAAAATTTTTGGAGAAGGGAAATAAAGGTATATAGAAAGAATATCAAATTTTCACTTATCTTTGGACGTTTCGGGACCGGTTCTGCTCCCGTTTTCAACATAAGAAGAGATTATTTCAATAGCGAAGTCGTATAATGTCTTGAAGCTTTTCAGTTTTCAATGACAATTGGTGACGTTGGCAATCAAATGAGTTACAGGATGTTTTCATTAATTGATCTTGAATTTACCATTTTCATGTTCAGATCTTAGTAGTGAATACCATGTTCTGTCTATATCAACTGAACAAGAAGCAATGTTATTGTCTCCGTTCAGAAGAATGCAAGCAGATTCCTTGATTTTTCTCTTCTGGTTGTTATCTTCTTTTCCAATAATTTTAATATTATTCCACTCTGCCATATGTTGTCCGTCTTCAGTAAGGATATGTTCAGCTAGTTTCGATTTATCGATGTTTCTTTTCTTTATATTGTACCTATGTTCCTTCGTCCTTACTGAAAGAGGTCTCTTGGTTTCACCTGTATAAAACTTTCCACAAACACAAGGTATATACTGTAAATACAATTTTTTGACGATTGTTCTTCATTTTTCGGCTTTGTTTGAGTTAGAATTGAAAACAAACAGGGTCAACCACAACAAAAACAACCATCAATAACGACAAATATAATACCATACATTCCCGGCATATCTGAAAAAATAAAACGTGTTGGTGATAAATTTCAAGTGAAAACTGTGTTCAAAACTGAAAATACAATGAGATCAATTCTAACTCAAACAAAGCCGAAAAATGAAGAACAATCATCAAAAAATTGTATTTACAGTATACCTTGTGTTTGTGGAAAGTTTTATACAGGTGAAACCAAGAGACCTCTTTCAGTAAGGACGAAGGAACATAAGTACAATATAAAGAAAAGAAACATCGATAAATCGAAACTAGCTGAACATATCCTTACTGAAGACGGACAACATATGGCAGAGTGGAATAATATTAAAATTATTGGAAAAGAAGATAACAACCAGAAGAGAAAAATCAAGGAATCTGCTTGCATTCTTCTGAACGGAGACAATAACATTGCTTCTTGTTCAGTTGATATAGACAGAACATGGTATTCACTACTAAAATCTGAACATGAAAATGGTAAATTCAAGATCAATTAATGAAAACATCCTGTAACTCATTTGATTGCCAACGTCACCAATTGTCATTGAAAACTGAAAAGCTTCAAGACATTATACGACTTCGCTATTGAAATAATCTCTTCTTATGTTGAAAACGGGAGCAGAACCGGTCCCGAAACGTCCAAAGATAAGTGAAAATTTGATATTCTTTCTATATACCTTTATTTCCCTTCTCCAAAAATTTTTTCAATACAAATTGTCACTGACAAGCTAGTGAATTTTTCTTTTAGGCTCTCTGATAGGAAAATTCTTTAAAGGCAGTGACATTTTGGGGCAAATCATCTGATTTGTCCTTACTACACGTATATTGAAATAATATTCATATTTTTATTTTATAGAAACGAGGAGAGAAAATCCCAAAAAATTTGGAATAATGATTCTTAGTTTCCCTGTAAATGATAAATACTTGTCATAAGTATAAGAATTATTGATCGTAGTTACAATTTCATCTTGAACAAAGAAATAATCAAATCAAAATAACTCAAGATACATTCATATTCAATGATTTTCCACACTTGATGGAAAGCTAAGAAAACTTCGAATAAGTGAACCATTTCTTCATTCTCAGAGCAAAAATAGGTAGGTATGCTTAATGTAAGGATAGGAAGCATTATTTAAAGACTATGATAAGTCGAGCTCAAAATAGTTTGTATTTGTTTGAATTTCATCTACATTTTATCTAGCTCTAGGGATATTCAGCGAGTGGGCAATAGGACTGGAAAAATGATGAATACAGCGCTCTCGCTCCTGACGCTTTATGGGAAAACAGTTTGGCATATAGTACATTTTTAAACGCCATCATATAGACAAAGGTTCAAATTAGGGCGGATACTATCTCATTTTTCAAAATTCGAAAAAAAAAAGTTTCAAAAATGTATTTGAATATAGCATTATTAGCTGACGAAAAAAAATATTTATACTGCTTGTTCAAGATTTTCAGATAGTATCCGCCCTAGAATGAACCTTCAATATGCTACAGAAAAAAAATCAAATCATAATGTGGCTTGGTTTCTTCACAAAGCGTCAGGAGCCAATCCTCTGCAACCTCAAAAATAGGCATAAGTTCACGATGATATTTGCGCCCTCTGGTGAAAGTTATATCAGAAGAACATGGCAGTCGATATAGCCTTAGTTCGGGTGATTTGATGAAATATAGAAATAATGAAATTTAAAAATAACCTATATAAATTCATGAAATTTCAAAAATAAACTAGTAGGTATTGATTACTTTGAGACAAAAATAATTTTTTCTGTGACGGGAAAAAAGTTTGGCATTTTATCTCTGTTGGCAGGTTATAAAATGTCACTTTTCATAAATTACTTTTTTCCCGTGGGAAAAAAGTGAGTACTTCTTTCCCGGATATATATCACATATATATACTCTGTTAATGGCTTTTGTTGTGCTATAGTTCCGAAAAATAAGTCAATAATACCGTCTCCGAGAAAGAACTGCAAGTCCTTTTATCTTCCATTCGACTTCGCGGTTTCGTATATTACTAAACAACTACTGAATTCGCAATTTTTTAAAATCAAATCACAGAATTGAACTGACAGAAGTGACATCAGATATTTGATTACTTCAAAAGAATGATGAAGATGTCTATAAAACGCAGGTGTCCCTACTGTTGAAAACTTGAAATTTCACGTCGATAATTTTCAGATTTCGAGATAATGTAATATCTTCCCAATATTGATTCGTCCTTCCTTCTGTCACAGAAAAAAATAGTGTATTATACACGGGAAAAATATTAGATTTTAGCTCACGGTTTTTTGTCTCCCTCCGCTACGCGTCGGGAGACAACACAACCTGGAGCTAAAATCTACTACTTTTTTCCCTTGTATAATAAATAACTATTATTCTTCATACATTTTGAGAAGTATCATTTTATAGTTCGTTCGTCAATTAAGTGAAATCTATTGAATAATCTGATGCGTAATTTCACGCGAGTTCATTGCCTCAAGTGCCCATAATTTCGCTAAACGCAAAAAATCCTCTACAATAATAGAATACGTATAGGTGGTTCCCCGAACGGGTTGTTTTTTACACGGCGTAACATCCTGAGATGCAGGGTGATGCAGGATGCAGGTATACGTTTATGGTCAATGGAATAGAGAGCTTGAGCTTCTGAAATTTGTAGGTTTTACAATTTTGTATTTAGTGCGAGTGTAATATAATAGTGGTAGGTCATTAATGATTGATGACATTATAAAAATGTTCAACATCCTTTGAATGTTTACGATTCCAGGTAAAATGAATCAATGTTGAATATTTTCGTCATGTCAGTAGTTTGATCCGCTTCATGCAGAAACGTTGAACTTTGTATTTGGTGTGGAAATGTTTTTGTGTTTGTGACTATAAGAATTGAAAATGCCGCCTATAAAACCCAGGGCAGGTGATTATCGTAAGGGAGAAAAAACAAAATCACATGTGTCGAAAAAAAGACGTAGCCGGACGTAGGATATCAAGGGGGAAGAAAAATATCAGTATCGGTCGAATGTTATGTTCATTCTCTTCACCCAGACACCCCTATTTTGGAATTCCAAATGGCACCCCCTACTTCGAGATATATAAAATTCAAAGTCTAGCAATAATAACCAACCAGATGGAAAACTATCTTAGTATTCGATCCATAAATATCGGGACATAATCATTAAATTAAGTTATATTAGGTCAGTTATTATATACAGCCAAACATTTTGTCAATTTTCATTGAAGGTATCCTCAGATCAATTTTTGTGGAGTCACATGTGGAAACAATGGTTAATAAAACTCAGCCAGAGAATATGGATGTACTCAAACTGATATATTTCTCGAAAAGTAGACAAATAAATGGGAAAACGTTTCAAAAAATGTTTCAAGAATTCTAGAATAGGCTGTACTATTGAGCATCAAATATTGAAGCATATTTTCGAATAATTGCTTCAAATACCTCTGTCAAAGATCACTCGCTCTCTCTAACTTTTGTTGATCACCAACATGAATCATTGAAATAAATTATTATTCATCTGGTCGGATTGGTTTTTGTTTCCGCCTCAATTTGATGTATCTCAAGTTGCCATTTGGAATTTTATAAAGTAGAGGTGGCAGGGGTTTGAAGGGATGATCATAGCATTCAATAGATACTAGTATTTTATTTCCTCCTCAATATCTGAATCAACCTATTTTTTTCCATGATTGTTATCATCGCACATCATAAGGCTAAGTGGTAAGTTTTGAAATCAAAGCTATGTACTATGAATCGAGGAAATCGCCTATTTTGTAATATTCTCAGCTGAAACTGAATTTCAAAATTTTCTCTTCCAATGAGGAATTGGTGAAATAATCAACAATATTTCAATTTGTGCTAACTTAATCCACATCATAACATTTTTAACAATCAGGCATTTGATGAAATGTTGCCGCATATCATCGAGTTCAACCCGTTATATTCTTGACCTCACACAATATACCTCTCAATTCACAAGTTCTTGCGCTACTGCTGCTGCTGTTTTATATTCCACTTCAGCTGTGCTCAAAGCAACATAGTATCTAATGCTTTTCAAAGAACCAAGATATACTGATTTTTTTTGACGGCTATAACACAAAATTGCTTTCGTTTTACTATGTTTGATATCACAATGACTTCATTTTGTTATTATTCCACAAATTCTCATCTCTCATAAAATATAAAATTTCAAGCAATGACATCAACTCTGTCTAATAGATCAGAATCACTAAAGAGTGAGCAATGAGCCGCACAAAATAACAAATTCAGCGCTCTCGCTCTAGACTCCCCATTTCGAAACCATTCAATATTTTCAGAATTTTTTCGATTCATGCTCTAGCCAAAGGACCAAGCTAGGTTGAATACTATCTCATTTTTCGAAATTTTTAAAGAAAGAGTGGACAAAACGTTCTCGAAAAGTGCTCAAAATTAGTCAATTTGGCAAATAAAAAAAATACGTGTACATGAAATAACCAATTTCCAAATAGTATCCAACCTAGATCTATCTGTCAACAAACCACACAAAAAAAGCAGCTCGAAATAACGATCGATGTCTATACACGACGTCAAGAGCCGTTGCTCTACATTCTCACAAATACGCACGATTTGGTCGATGATATTTGCGCCTACGTAAATCACCCTGTATAATATAACAGAAAAGTTAACTTCAACTGACGATACAGTTGAAATTCAAGAAAATAATGATTAAAGCCTACTCATAGTATCTGATGAGTCATTTCGTTTGCTTCTTGGTTTTTCAAGATCGGATTTTCAAAAGCAGCGCTATGGCTTGAGGCTTTTAAAATCCTAATTTTTCAACACCTCTCGACCAATGAAGAGTGTTGTAAAACTTCATAACATATGTAAACGTAATGGATATAACCAAGGATATAACACAATCAAGGTGTTATCAAGTTAGATTCTATGACCGGATTACCCGATGAATATATTATATAGGTAGAATACATTTCGCTAGGAATCTGCTAGGCAGATTATTGGCAATATAAATAAATATTCGGACGCGGTAATCACCCCGACTAATTGACGAACCGGGTGAGTTGTCCTTTTCTAAAAAGGATGCTTGTTGATTTATGACTGTTTTGTAACCGCCCACTGCTATCTCTTCCTAACCCCCCCGGACCTCAGGTATAGGCGAGAATTGTCGCGTTTCTCAACCTTAATATAAAAGTGTTCCTAAAAAAATAATATCCATTCTTAATGAAAGTCTAATCTATCATTGTTTTATAGATAGAGTTTTCTGTATTTCTTCTGCATCGTAATTAGAAGATGCTCAAACATGCACTGACATTTTGCTGCTCGTGCTATTCACCCTGAAACATATATGAGTTTTGTTTTTGTATCTCCAATGATGACGAAGATATTGGACTTCCTCGCAGTAACGGTCCACCCATATACCTACGTATGTAAAGATAAATATTAATATATGTATACATACCGATGATTTTTCTTTCATTTTTCTCCATTTTCCTCCATTTTTTAAGGAACATCATTCGTTTTCCTATACTAGGAATTAATTCTTTAATCAAATCTTCGGAAAGCATTGACATATTGTTTTCCGTTATTTCATGTTCTAGAAAAAGCAACGAACTCGTATCAAAAATCGTGACAATATGTATTTGATTGACATTTTTACAGTAGAAAATATAGTCGCAAGGCATGAAAAAATGTTGATGGATCTTATAAGTGACCTTTCCTATCAATCTGCATATTGATATTGTAATTTTTGCATGATAATTATTAAGTATTATAAATCGAGTGACCGTACTATGAATATTATAATTATAACCAGGTATGACAAAACTAACAATATCATCTAGTAACTTGCTGATGAGCAGATTAGATTTTCCTAAAAGTCTGGATATATACCTGGCCAATCATTATGAATAATTCAATCTGTTACCTATCTTGTTACCTATATATCCATTATTCTACTATAGGAATAATATAGGAAACCTTTTTAGTTTTTCAATTTGCGAACTAACACATGCCACAGAATTTGGTGCAACGCCTATACCTAGGTATAATGATGACCAGGCACCATCAGATCACTGGTCGCCATGTTTTTTTTTTCATAACTAACTTTCAAGTTAATAATTTATTCTTACCGTTGAATACTGGAATGAATTTCTTCCAGTTTCCATTCTCGTAAGAGCTCCTCCATATTTTTCAACACTTCCATTGCCCATAAACGACAAAATCACCGGCAAAACTAAATAGGTGTTTGTTGTTCAGTTTTCCTTTCTGCCGCTTATTGCCTCACAAAAACTCAACTGTCCCGACTTCCCGAGTCTCGTCCTCGACCGACGCAAGATATAGGACAAGACGCGACCTGCAATACCCGCTTACGAATTTTTCATGGTCTTCCTTGAAGTTTAGCTAGTCTGTGATCCAAGTATAAGACATTCGGATCAAGAGTAGCGTATTCTTGGGTGAAATTGTACCTAATATTCATATGAGATTTATTTGATTCTAACCATAACAATAGCTATTCTTGATAGAATGAACGGAACTTCTCGATGAAGAGTATGTTCCTTACAATTAAGAATGCATATCTTGGTTCGAAGAATGCCTTTATTTTAAATCAATGTTGACATAAAAGCAAATTAACGATAGAATCTATTGACGCAAGTTTTGCATTTTATTAGAAAAAAATTAATTAAATTTGAAATGTACTTTATATCTGTTCTTGTTTTCAGACAAGTTATTTTGTTGGATTGAGAATAAAAAATGTCCAAGAAAATGTATCCTAATCTTGATGATCAAGAGTATCTGTCTTTTTATAATGAGAGTAGTATATTCTTCTCTCAATAGAGATATTTTCAATAGAGCAGTTCAGCTACCGTTGAGAGAGAAAAAAAATGTCTTCCTCATCTGTCCTTGTCTTCAGTGTTCCAACATAAAATAATGAAAATATTATGTTGGTATCATTGGAAATGGGAAAAAATGAAGAAGAATATCATATTAACCTCGATATAAAAGAAGGTTAACAACACAAGATTTTCATTATTTCATGTTGGAACACTGAAGACAAGGACAGATGGGAAGACATTTTTTTTCTCTCTCAACGGTAGCTGAACTGCTCTATTCGAATGTAAAAACACTTATTTTGAGAATGTTTTTTCAAGACTAACTTTATACTCAAATGTAAACTAGCATTTTTTTCTGTGTATAAATACACCTTATTATAGTTGAGTATTGGAATTATAAACATCTCAGCTAAGTATTTTTGATCTAATCAGGGAAGCCTTCAAGATTCAAATACTTGCTTGATCTGTATTTCATTCGTTATTCTTGGAATGGATAACTTGTCTTGAATAATCACGGCAAGCAATAGTTTTTTTGTCACAAACAACGATATTGTTCAGCTTCATTTGATAATCAAGTCAAACACAGTGTAGTATGGAGAGGAATAAATAATCGCTATTATTATTGTTGATATGCTCACTAACCTAACATTTTCCACTTCTTGTTCCTATATATAGCTGGCACTGGCGCTGTATTTGCCATTAGAGCAACAGGTCCATAGACAAATATGTCACTCTTTGGTTGTATTTATATTGAAACTACAATTCGAACATCCTTGAAAATTGAATAAACCTGCTGTTAATGCAGCTAGAATATTCTCACCACACGAAGTATTTGTCAATATTTGTTGCATTGCATATACATATGGCACGACATTGGTGGTTACTTCACATATTAATTATTCGAGTTAATTGTTTCGGTTGCAGAAAAAATAGCATGTTTCATTCGGATCAAAAGTGACTTTGTTCGACTCGCATATTTTGCTTTCGCTCGGCTTCGCTAAACGCTCCGCCTCGCAAATGCAAAATTCGCTTGTCAAACAAAGTGTCACTTTTGGTCCTAATAAAATCCCTCGAAGCCAAATACACTTCACTGCCCTTGACCTAACCTGACCAAAATAGGATCATAATTTCTTCTCAATAATTTTATGTCCAATTCTAAAGGTATAAAATTGAAGAACATATCGAGATATTTGGAAAAGGTCCTCCTGTACTATCTTGATAAATTTTAAATTGACTCGGCAGTTACTTGATGGAAATTCATGGCAAATGCATGTAAAAACTTCACAAACGATAAGATTTACACAAAATTTTGTGTTTTTACATTATCTTGATAAAATTGCAGCCCTACTTTTATGAAAAATAGGTGCATTTGCGAACGGCAGCTCTTCGTCAGTAGGCACTATGGGTTCGAGTTATCAAAATGAGTTAAAATAGCAAAAATTCAGTTATCTAGCAATCATAAGGTTAAACAAAAAAGATGGGGCGCCACTGCAACTTTTAATTCAAATGAAAAGTTACCTGGAAAGTTGAGCAACCAGATAATGAATAATATTAGTTGTTCTCCCAGACTAAAAGACCTAAATTTACCTTAGAGATGTTGTGAGTTGGAGTGTCATGTCAATAAACAAATAAAACAGTCATATAAAATACCCAAAACATTTAATTATGATGATAGGACTCATATATCACATGGTTTTGACAAATATGCATAATCAAAAAAATTAGATACTCATTTCCTGTTAAGAAACTACACTGTTGTTGCCTGCTATTATGTGGATGAAAATATATATATATAAATCAACCTTATATTTTACTTGAAAATTCAAAAGCTCCTGTAAGGACGTTTTATAGTCATAGCAGATTTTAAAGAAATATGGAATATTGAATAATTCTACCAGCGCATAGTATACTATGTGGAGGGGAAGTATGTACCTTTCATGTGTGATTTTATCAATTTATGACCTGGCTATGATTTAAAAATGGTCCATTATACACACTAGCAATGGGCAATATGAGTGAATAAAAATGAAAAATAAAAATATATTTTCATGTCAAAAAAAACCTGTATGGTGTGTCCTACACCAGTTATCCAGAGTAGCCTTCAGTGCTACCAAATGAAGCTTCTGAGGGGAAGATTGGCGGAGAGCGGGGTGCTGACTTCACATCCCTGGATGTCAGATGACATTGACAGAGTTGTCGTATTTCCACCTTGAAAATCCATCATCAGGAACAAGTAGGGGACGATATCCAGATTCCAGATTCCAGACTACTATATAGCCACCAAAGGCCTTGTAGAATTAACAGATCCTGGTCGAGCAATGACTCCTGGGAAGAATAGTGCTCCTGGTAGGATAACTCCCGTTGTAGAACTCCCGGTAAAAAAACTCCCGGTAGAAAACTCCCGGTGAAAAAACCCTTAAAATAATTCATGAAATGAGGTTCTGAATTTCTGGACTGCAGAGAGAAAAAACGTAATAATGCGAGACTCACCTTCTATGAAGGGTTAGGGATTGAAATGACGATGAAGGTAGGCACGTGGCTGCCTGGGTGATGAACCATGAAGATCCTGCCTCTTAAACCAAAACCAGAAAAATCTGTAGAGTCCAGCAGTCCTTATAGACCAGCAACAAATCCAGGATATCCTGATGTGATCCAGAACGCCAGGCGGTACAGGACTTCAGAAGCCGGTTCACACCACAAAAATGGCACTTGACCACCACGAAGAATTTTCTGAAGTGAGCTCTTGTCTCACGACCAGAAAGGAAATCCCTTCTCCAAATTTCCAGAAACTTCGAGAACAACTTAACAGTTTCCGCTTTTCAAATTGGCGGAAAATTTGAATATCCAAAATAAAAGACGTTATCGCTACTCCCTCCAGAGACTTGATTCTTCCCAGATGACTATCTGAACCAATCAGAATTGATGACTAAAATGACGTCACACATTTCTTCACTCATACTCGGCTTGTTGGTTCGACGATGATGATCTAAGGACATATCAATCCGAATCGGCGTTTGGCGCATGACAAGATTGACACTGTTGACATGGTGTCATGACCGACAGCTAATTGACGTAAAGCGAAATAACAGATCAACTCAACAAGATCAAAACATCAACCTGAATTTATCAAATGCATCAATCAAGAAAATAATGCCAAACGAAGTTAATTGATTCACCATGGTCGATTCCTAGTGAAACCATCCACATGAGCGTTCCTGGAAAATCCAATACCTATATTGTCCTACTGTGATGAAGTTTCAAGTGGAAATAGCAGTGTGAAAAGTGAGTATGAGAATGTCTCTGAAATGGTATTTCATATTACTTTATATTATTTATCTCTTTCAGATAAGTTTCTGTAAAAACCATCCGAATCATCCTTCTACTTGGATCACAACAAAGCAGATATAGCAAGAGATATCAGTGTATTTATAGAAATTGTATTTTTATTTTATGTACAGTGTGAAATCTCAGGTGTGTATCCACATATCAGGTTTGAGAATAATTAAATAATATAAAACAGATTGAGTTCAAATTTATGTTATTGAAAAATGTAAACCATGAAATTGTGACAAAATATCCTGTCAGATGTGCTCAGCAATCAGCATTACAGAATAGTATAGAATCAGACAAAATATACAGTAGTGAAAATTTACATGCTACAAAATACCTAGGAGAACAATAAAAAAATTAACAAGTTAATTCAGAGATAGATTATACATGATCTTTGCAACGAAGTTTCAGTGATGTCCTTTCATTTCACGGCATAAATTTATCCTTTTTCGGAAATTCCAACGAACTCTGGCAAACATTCCCTCTATTTGTTTGATTACCTCACACATTTCCATAATTTTTTGTCTAAGAATCTTCATTCCTCATTCTGTCTATGGACATGGATTACACATTCATTTTCACCCCAGTTTTTCAAGGAATTCTTTGCAGAAATTTATACAATGAATTGGTATTAATTTTTTTCCACGGAAACGAAGCAGAATATCGGAACAATTCAGGAAAACAAAATGTTGTATATGTATAGTTGATAGTTGGTCAATAAGATATGCAGATATAGAATATAGAATATATCAGTGACGCATCACATTTTATACCACTAGCTGGTGGGCAAACTTTCTCACGAGGGGCCAGAAAAATAGAATAAATTCTGCAGGGGACCGGCAGCATTTCGTTTGTTGATTTCCACTATAATGTGAAATTTACTATAACAGTTAGGTATTTATTACTATAATAATATTCAGTGCAGACTCGATAATCCGAACGTTCAATAATCCGAATTCTTCAGTAGTCCGAACAAGCATTTTTAATACATTGGATACTCTATAATCCGAATTTCATAGTACTCGATAACCCGAACCTATATACCTTAGGCCTATTTATTTCCTATAGAAATTGTGAGTGAAATGTTCAGGGATTCCCCTAATTGTTCAAAACTGTTAAGAACGCTGAAGCAGCTAAAAGTTTTAATCTGTGTTTGAAATGGGCCGACGAAAATAATATTCCGTTAAATGATATTCTTGTACTTCAAAAATTAAAAGAAATGGCCTTTATAAATGATCAGAGATGTGTTAAGCAAACAAAAATTACAAATTACTTTAGAAACTAGTATTATATTCTTACTTTTATGCATATTTTAGTGTTACTTTTTCGTATTCATGTTTTTTTTGCATTTCGTAATAAAAAATTAAAAAAAAAAAAAAACTGCTTCGGTAATCCGAATTTTTTGGTAATCCGAATCGCCTTGGTTTTTATTAGTTCGGATTATCGAGTCTGCACTGTAATTCTTTTCACTGAAATGATATAGGTAATACTACTCTGATATCGAGTAAATTCTAGCATAAATCATATGCATTTTTTTACATATCCAATATAGTATAATTCATAGTGCTAAAGTTTAACTATAAAAAAATCACTATAGGTAATAAAATCGAACTGTTTACTATACATTTTGCTTGGAGCTATAATCGAATCGACGCATTTTATATTAAAGAGTTCAATAATTATATTGTATTTCACTATAATTTTCTTTCTGTGTAGTTGGATATTCATCGACACACTTCCATCATTTTGTTTTGTACTTCTTTTTATTGTGGCTATCCATGAAATCGTGTCTAATTAGTTTTTCAAACTACTATTCATTTTCTATACTTCTTTTTAGTTCGATAATTCATCTCGTTTCTTAAACTATATATGTACCATAAATGTACTACCTACTCCTCCTTGGCCTCGCGTGTTGCATTATAGTTTTTCAGACTATATACCATTTATTACAAAGATCGTTCGCCATATTGGATCCGCCATCTTGAATTTCCCTATAATGGGGAAGAAATCATGATATTCGACCCCGAAAACCTCCAGATACAAATTTTGAATAAAATGGGACCAGAATAACAAGACTCGTCTGCCCTCTTTATCTTCCCATAATTTTGACGAGGAATCATAATCTCCAACCCTGAAAACATCCAGATACAGAGTTTGAATAGAATCGGATCATAATTATAAAACTCGTTCACCATATTGGATCCGTCATCTTATATTTCCTGATTTTGACGAAGGAATCATAATCTCCTACCCGAAAAACCCCCAGATACCAGTTTTGAATAGCGTTGGATCATAAATGAAAAACTCGTTCGCAGGGTTGGCACGAATTAATTCATATGAATTAAGTCAGTGATTTAATTCGTGAATTAATTCAAATGACTTTTTTCAAATAAGTCGTGAATTATTTCAAAATTTATCAAATGGGAACAAATCGCATCATTACCTTCAATTTAAACTAGTTTGAAATACATATCGGATGGCATCTGACAACTGACAACCGTGAAGCACCACACGCGAAAAACAGTTTACCTACAATATTTCATTGCATGCAATTGATGCTCCAATTCATATTTCCGGCAAAAATAATATGTAGGCTTTTCAACACTGAATCGGAATTACCGGCTTGCAATGTCTTTTTGTCATAGATTCTGTGTATTACTTCTCACCGAGTTTTGAGTTGGGTCAAGAGTTGGGTAGAAGAAACCATGAGAAAGGCAAGAAAACTAAGATCCAATGTGTATCTGATGATGCGTGAAATTCCGAAAATCTAACATGTCACCACTAGAATTGCACCAGTAATACAAACTACCACAATATAAATAAATATGTCCGGAACTCATTTCTTGCAATGCATCGAAAAATTGCTTTCCAAGGTGACACCAATCCGTAGGCGCGCCATGGATATTGCTGCATTTTATTGAAAATAACTATAAAGCGCCTCTATAATGAAGATTGTGAATGAGTAATATAATTTGCATAAACATCATTTTTCATTCAATCAATAGTCTCAGTTCATACTGCAAAAATTGCATATTTCAAGTTTTTTATTTTCACGCTTTGAGATTTTTAAAGGAAATAAAAACTTAGTTTTTTCGATGTTCTTGTATTTTGTTCAAGTAAATAGAATTTGATTTGTTCTCAAATGAATCAATTCAAAAAAGTCCGAATTGATTCAAAGTCAGACTTTTTTGACTTTTTTATAAAACTCATGACTTATTCCAACCCTGCTCGTTCGTCATATTGGAAATCTCCGACCCTCCGACCCCAAAAACTAGGGCTTCGCGAGACTTAGGCCGAGACTGATCACTCTTGGTCTTGGTCTCGAAAAACAAATGTCTTGAATCAAAATGCGTCTGGAAATTCGAATTATTCAATTCAAATATCCAACAGTTTATATGCATATAATATAGGTATTTCGTATTTCTCAGTCTTTAAAATTGACAATTTATGCGTATAAAGTAAGCGAAATAAATTTCTCCTTTCACCATAAGAATATAATTCTTAATAAACCCAAAATAAACATTGAATGAGACCCAAACAGCAAACAGGTCGCTGCTCGACAGGCCAGAAAAAAGTTCAAAAGGGTCGGAACTGACAACAATGCATCATCAGAATATTTCAAGAAATTTCAAATTCGATGTCAAACCAAATAACTTTTGTATTGAATTTGTGTCTATTTGTTTCTGCTTCTTGTTGTAAACTTCAAAACTACAATACTCAATTTGAAAATGGTATTACGAATTTTGAGTGAACAAAAATTGAATATGACACATGAATAACTAAGATAAAATGCAAATACATTTTCCATCAGATTTTTCCTAATATTGAGATGATTAACGTTCATCATTTTTCTTTCTTTCTTTTTGGGAAAGGGTGATGGTCTTGGTCTCGAAAGTCAAGTCTTGCTCTTGGAAAGATTTGTTTCTCGTGAAGCCCTGCCAAAAACCACTAGCAAGAACCAATTTTGAGTGAAATTGGATCATAAATACAAAACTCGTCCGCCATATTGGTTTCGCAATCTTGAATTTCCGAATTTTGATGATAGAATCATGATCTCTGACCCCAAAATCACCCAGAT